TTTTTATAATATAAGTTTTGGCAAGGTAAAAATTCTATACTGCAGGAGCCAGTAGCAAATAACCAGGTAATGCCAGCTAATAGGTAGGACGCTTTTTCAGCATGGGACGCTGATAACCTTAACAAGTTAAGCAACTTGCACAGTGTGTGGAACATGGTAATAATTCAGTAACTGTTCACTGTTATCAGCCCAGCATATTAAAAACTAGTGTATTTAAGTAAAATGTACAACTTTAATGTGGACACACAGAATGTAAATTGGTGCTGAACTATTTATTGTACAATAATGATAATCCAGACATTTTCCTTTTTAATATTAATTCTTAAAAGAATAAAGACATGGAATTGCTAATTAAAGGTCTGCATAAAGAAAAAAAATGTTTTACTTGGTCCTTCAACCTGCATATTTCAAAGCCAATTAAACTTTTTTAATCCTGCTTAGTATATTTTTATGTTACTTATATAATCTAATTTGTTGTGAAGGTTTGTTTTTAATTAAAATGTTTTAGTAAAAATCTATAAGGAATTTTAAAAATGTTACTCAAGGAACTTGTCACAATGTTCTTTCTATTTTTGTGTTCTATTTTTTATTTTTATTTTTTGCTTCTGCTGCACTGTAGATATTTCAAAGGCTGCCATATCAGCATATGGACACATTTAACCTTGAGTAAATAATAAATTGTTTTAAAATTGTACTATCAAAAGGCATAGTTAACGCTTTAATTTCTTAGTTTCTAACCCTCAGTCAGACACAACTGATCTCAGATTCATTGCACACAGATTTTCAGATATCTAACAGTTAACTTAAGTATCGTGACTCATCGCTTCCATATCTTCCCCTTCTACTGTAGCTTATCGCCAGTCATGTTTGTGACTTAGTACAGTAAAGACGTATTTCATAGCAGCACCTTTGTGTGCAATGAATCTGGGAGATCAGTTGCACCTGACAGAGGGCTAAACAAGTGAGAATGGTTTTGATTGTGCCTTACATTAATAAATGTCAGAGTGTGTATGTTTCTTGAGATTCCATATTTCTAATGTAAATAAAGGTAAGTATCTCAGTAGTCATAAATAGCTCCTTACTAGTTTTTATATTTTGTGACAAAAAGATAAATCAAGAATGAGTTTGCCCACTTCTTGTATAGAAGTTCTTAGCCTTTGTTGGGTTTCTTTAACTTCATATAAAAATGCCCAAGAATACATACACACCAGAATTTTGAATATAATAGCAGAGTATTCATGAATCCCCCAAAGCTTGGTATCCTCTATGGGAGTTTTTTATCCTTGCTGTAGGATAATTAGGATAGATTGTAAGCTCCATTCGAGGAAGTTTTTGTTATTTTATACTGCTGGGTCTCTTGCACTTAGAATAGTGCCTGGCACATAGTAGGCATTTAGTAATTATCTGTTGAATGAATGGGCAGCTCTTCCCAGATTTTCTGCAGATTCAGAACACAGAGCTCTGCCTAGAGTGATGTAAGGAACCTAATCATATTAGAATTGAATTAAGTGGGATTTAAGGACCAGACTGGGTCCATATTAATGATCTAAAGGCTGTGTATTACTATATATAAACCTTGTCAGTCACCCTATCTTCCTTTCTTTAACTGAAGGATTAAAGAATGAAGTTAAAAGACTTCATTCACTTAGAAGTCTCCCTTTTCAGGATTACTACTACAGAATTTCATCTTTCATAGAAGAGCCTAAGATTATCTTTTGGTAGTTTCCTCTTAATTATAACTAATTGATGATGGACTTTACAGATGATATATCTTAATGTTGTAGGCTTTTAATTAGTTTTGATAGCGCTGATACTATGAAGTATTGTAGATAAGCTTACTGAAATAAGTAATGACACAAGTTTCCGAAATCAAGTTTCAGAAATCAGTACTACATAGAGCTCACTAATGATGTAGTCAACATTTTATAGCTACCTGAACTCACCAGTATACTTCAGAAGCTTTTTATTCCAAAAACCATATATTGTATGATTTCCTTCTCACATTTCATAAAAGATTGCTTTGAGAAAATGATAGCTGAGATTTAGAATACATTTGTGTGTGAAGTTCATTTACCTATAGATGATTATCCTTCATTTTATAGTTATGCACAGAAGAAAGATGTAATGTTTTGTATAAACAGTGACTTTCATTGCTCCAGGTTGGATCAGATGTTTTCAGATGCCTTTAGTAAAGATCACCAGCTAATTCGAGCTGATCCCAAACATAATCTCTACCTTGCCTGTGCCCTCATGGTTAGAGGAAATGTCCAAATTTCAGATCTTCGCAGAAATATTGAAAGGTTTGATTTTATGTTTTTTCAAGATAATTTTTGTGCACTGCTTGCTACTGTAGCATAGTAGTTAGGGTGGCCTCTTAGAATTCTAGCATTGCCACTTAACTAAAGTGTAACCTTGTGCAAGCCACTTAGCCTCTCTGAGCCTTATTTTCTTCAAATGTAAGATAAGAATGATAATAGTACAAAATTGTTATTTACAAGTACTAAGTGATGTATGAGGTGTTTTATTTCCTGAAAGTGTTCAGAAAACTTAACTATTATTTTTATTACCACGACTACACTGCTTCTTAGTTTATTTTAGTATTTCTTGACAGTTTATTTTTTAGGAAAACTGTTCTGTTAAATTACAAATAAGGAAAATCATGCTATCTTCATTTCTTTTCATCCCCAGATTTCTAATTTCTAATGTTAAGGAATGTGTTTCTAGCTTTTTGAATCACCATCACAGCCAATCTAACATCCTCCTACTAAGTGTCCCTTAGTTCACTGTCAGACTGTGCCATAATACAGCTAATAGTATACATTCTAAACTAAGCAATTAGAAGGGTACCATCAGTAATGTCCTAGTGTAACTAATGTCAGCTGCTATGATATGGCAGACGTTTTTAGTACCTTACTTCTTACCCTGAATTCTTGTATCTCAGATTAAAACCTTCTCTACGGTTTGTCTCCTGGAATCAAGAAGGTTGGAAGACCAGCCTGTGTTCAGTGCCTCCTGTGGGACATTCTCATTCATTGTTAGCTTTGGCAAATAACACGTGTGTGAAGCCTACCTTCGTGGAACTGAGAGAGAGATTCATGAGGCTCTATAAGAAAAAGGTAATTATCAGTACACCTTTGTAAGGGTATGTGTTTATTTTGGCTATTTAAGATGTCTTCTCAAGAATAACACTGTTACAAATCAAGATGAACCTGTCTGCTATATTCCTGGTACTGACTAGAACCAAAGAGGAGAGCCTTACTCAGACTGTCTAACAGAAATCTCAGGAGGTTATAGGATTTGAGTTCTCATTTCTCTTGGAAAGCTGAGTGGACTATCATTTTAATAAAGAATGTTTACAATATAGGATAGTTATGTGGATTAAATTTCCAGAAAATAGTCAGCATTATCCAGTTTTATTCTTATTTATAGGCTCATCTTCATCACTATCTACAAATTGAAGGGATGGAGGAAAGCTGTTTCACAGAGGCCCTGTCATCTTTATCAGCACTCGTACAGGAATATAACCAACTGGACGCCACAAAAAGCATGCCTGCGGAAGATTTACCCAGACTAAGCGTAGCTGTATAAAAAAGAAACCCAAAAATACTTTGACTTTTTCTTAATTTCACGTTGGTTTTTATCATACCTCTGTGTTTCAGAAAACCCAGTTTATGTTTTTCGTATTAGGAAGTATTTTTGTCTGAAAGACTAGTTCCATTTAAACACAGTTTGTTGTGTGAAATTAATAAAGTCCTAGTACCTTAACTTCAAAGATTTGTCTTTAGAAAATCCCCCTTTTCTAAAATTGAGAGAACAGAGTTCTTAAGTATTTATTTTATTTTATATAATCTCATATTTAGGCATTTATACAAAATAATCATGTTCTCAATAAAAGTCTTATACAGATATTTTTTTATATTTATAATTTATGTTTGTATATTGTTTAAATTCATCCGATTCTTTAAAAATAAGTACAGGGAGTTGAAGAACACAATGTAAATATTCCTGTGTAATACCCACTAACTTTGGGGATAGGTTTTATCACAACTATTAAGGAGGTTTTGTTTCTTCTTTGGATAACCTTGTTTGTACTCAAAAGAATCAATTTACATTTATTTTTAACATGCATTTATATTAAGTATAATGCTTTGTTATCAAACCAGTTGATTTTATAATAATAAATGTCCATATTTTTAAACAATGCTACTTGTTATTGTTTTGCTTGTCAGCATTTACACAAGCAAACAGAACATTATGAAGCCTGATATTTTCTTCCAAACTGTGCAGTACATGCCTTTATAATAGGCTCCTAAAAGTGTTCCAGTTACTGTTATCTCCAGTTTTAATCTTTAACATTTATTTATCTTTAATCACAATTTATATTTAAAATCCACAGGTTGATTTATCAATTCAGGAAGTAATTTTTAGGAACAAATTATCAAGCCAACATAATTTGTTGTGTGCTTTCTTTAGTGTTATATATTTTAGGTTTCTTTTCAAAGTAAGGCTACTGCTCTTGGTCTTTATCTTGGAAATTTAGTTTTTTACAATATTTGGTATAAAAACTTTTAGATTACAGTTGTCAACAGTGCCCAATGAAATTCTGTTTTCTACTTCCTAAAGAAACCTTAATAAACTGATATTGAAGACAGGGCAATGGAAACTATAAATATATTTACAGTTTAACCTATTCCTATTTAAGAATTAATCTAGAATTCTTGCTCCCCCTATAATTATCATCTGAATGAAACGCAGACCAGATTGTCGAAGTACAAATAAAGTTTTAAAATTTTAATATGCTTTTTACATATCTTCAACAAAGTATTCCAGATTCTATAGAATAAAATATTTTCTTGTAAATTGTGCAGTTTTCTATTATATATGAAAAAGGTAGAACAAAGTATCTGTGTATTATATAATTATTAATTTTAAAGAGTTCAATTTTAAGGTTTTCAAATTTTATATACATTTGTAGTAGAACCTTTTTAAGAGCTCCTAATGCCTTAAATACAGTCATCTGAGAAGAGCTAGGCATTCTTACTGTTTTAAACCAGTAAGGTAGATTTGCCACCCTTTTAAAACCATTCTAACTTTTTAATGTAATGACATGATTGACTAACCTTAACTTTTCCCTCCAGGTGCTCGGTTTTATAGAATCTTGAGCTCAGAAAATATATCTCCTGGATCTCTGCAGTTTCTCTGACATACACAAGATGTGATCCACAGCATTTTCCATTTAAATGACCCTTCATTTGGGCAATCAAATTGAATGGTAATCATTTTAGACTTATTAGGAACACAGCATCTCTTATCCAAGCAAATTCCACAGAAAGTGGGTTTATAACTCTGAGTGCTTGAACATCCAGAAAAGATGAATTTTTCAGCTTTGATGAGTTGGAAAGTAGGTTGGCACGTTTTTCCTTTGGGGATCTAAAAAAGGTACATAACATTAAAAAAGGACTCTTTAAATTTGATTACAATAATTTAGAAAAGTGATACTAAATATGTTTTATAGCACAAACACACGGATATAAATTAATGGTAGGACATGAATAGTAGCAACTTTAGTAACTTCCAGCACTCTTTTCTACCTTTGAAACCCTCTCTCACCAGAGGCCTGTCTACCCTTCCTGTTCTTGCTTCATCAAGTTATAAAGCCCGCTCTCCAATAATTTTTGCTATCTACCCTTTACTTAGTTCCACAATAAATGAAAATTTCTTTGTTTTTAATATCAAGGGCCATGTCTTATTAAATGTTTTTTTACCTATGAATTAGCAAATTTCCCTTTACAACTCAAGACAGTTTTGAGTGGATGGATAGATACATAAATATCTTAATCCCTTTAAGGTATTAACTTCTCATATGATAAGGAATAATGGGGATGAAAAGGGTTTTGTAGCATTTCTAAAAATTACTCTTGAATCAGTCATCTTGTGTAGTTCTAGAAATAGGACCAACTCTAGTTACTCCAAACAATCTTAGAGTTTTTTTATCATCGTCCTTTGGCAAGTTTACTATCTAAGCACAGAGCATTTTAGAAATGATGTGGTTCCCCAAGTTGATACAGAACTAAGATCAAAACTTCTCTGATATCCATAATGTCCTCATAAATACACTAAAACCAAAACCTGTTATCCCATTGCTTTGATTCTACTGCATAAAATTAATATAGAAAAAAGTTAGAATCTGAAAAGGACCCATTCATAAAAAACAATATACATGCTGGGGTACCATAAAAAACCCAGGCTGATCAAGACCCACACTAGTAAGCTGATAGAGTATCTAGAATCAACAGGTTAACATTACCTCTCTGCTTGGTAAAATTTTCCCCACAAAATATAGAGTAATGCCTGCTTTCCTCTGAGAGAGTTTGATTTTAAGAGTTCTAATGAGGTGATTTTATAAGAACCACCGTCCATCCCTCCAAAACACACATACACACACACACACATATTTTTCAGGAGTCTCATGATATTGAATTATAATGAAGTTAAATCTAATTAAATTTTACCTTTACTGTCTTTGATAGATTACTGTCACAAGGCTGAATATAACACAGTCTTTTCTCTTTTCTCATTTGACAGTTGCTATTTTCATTTGTTACCCTATTAGATATTCCTATCCCGCATGTCCTGGAGCACGGGGTCCACTTTGTTGCTTGCACAAGACATTTTCTTTTCCAAATAAGTGGAAGATTCCTATAAGCTAAAATAAAAGGGGAAAAGGACATATGTATACATATATATGTACTCATGTAGATAGATAATTTTTTATCATTTTTATGCTAATAGTTAATAAATCTGAAGTTTTCAGGGGTTTTTTTTACTGTAACTCAGAATAAAATAAACTCATGGTCTAACTCAGCATTCTCTCTCTTTTTCCCACTCTCCAAATTACCTTTCAATAATGTGTATGAGTCCAATTTCTTAGGAGGAATAAAAATCTTTGAAAAACTGAGTAGATGTACCCATTTGCTTCTTTCTGCTTAGTCCATCCTCTGAGTACTAAACTTAAGCTTTATGTTCTGAGGGATATCTGCCTTTTCTCTTGTTCTCGCCTCATGCTTGATATTATTTCCAACAGATATTGAAATAGACATTAGTAGTGCTAAGGAATTTAAGATATCAATCGGGATGATGTGGTCTTAATGTTAAATTTCGTGATATGTTAAAAATCTAAAATACAAAAGTTATATTTGAGAATTAGACTATCAAGGAGACCAGTTTTTTTCCTTCAACTGTTTTAACCTAGTCTTAGAAAATTCTCTACACTGAACTAATCTAAATAATCATATACTAAATCATGGCAATGTGTAATCTATTGTATTCATTCAGCTTATTACATTCCTTGTGGTATGGGGCCCATGGTATTCCCTCCAGCAGCTAGCCATTTTAAATCACTTATAGAAAGACATAGCGAAAGAATGGATGGGTGAGTGAGTGGTGGCTGGATGGAGCCCCCTCTACTGCCTGCTGCTTAGGTGAAACAACGGAGGAGAAGGGACGGAATAATAAGAATATAAAGAAAATACAAAGAGGTATAATAATTCTTCCATCTCATAAATCCACTGGGGGCTGCTGCTTCTGCTCATGAATGAATCAGGCTCTTGGTTCATTTTAAGCAAACTACATATTGGTTTATTGTCTCAAAGCACTTCCTTTAGTTTAATATACATCCTAAAATGGATGCTTTGGGAATAAGGTTGTGATGTGAGTTTACAGTTGAACATTTCAAAATTCTGGCTAATTACTTCAAAATGTCAATTTAAAACTCAAAAGACCCCCAAAATGCCTTCTTGATAGGAAATACCAGTCACTTTGAAGTAGTGCTTTCTTTGAATAAAATGACACTTTAATACTATTTTCAGCGTTATTACAGTAAGACCTTGCAATTGCACATAGAACTAAGGGAGAGGAAGCAGAAACATGAAGATACCTGGAAGGTAGGCAACAATTTAAAGACCTCAATGCAGGAAGCAGGTTAAAAGCCTGGCACGCATCTGCAATAAATAAAGGTAGGTTAGATGATCATATTACCAGTAACCCCATTTAAAGTTAAGCCAAGAGCTGCAGTTCAGGAATTTGCTTAACATTCATTAAAAAGCAAGAAAACTACAAGAGTTTTTTGTGTTTTTTTTAAATAAAAGTTTAGTGGTTGGTGAGCAGTGAGAAAAGCATGGGCGCATTACGTAATTGCATGCTTCATACTGACCAAGCAAAAGCTAGATTCCAACCATAAACCATCTGAAATTAACTAAGTATGTACTTGTAATTGTTCTTCATTTTGAAAGCCAAATTCCTGTTTGGACTCAGAAATACAGTTTCACAGTTGAGCAAAAGGGGAGAGACATTAGACTGAACATATACTTCCTTTGAAACATACCTAGGCTTAACTCTCAATTTCCAGAGAACCCTTGGAGAGATTTTCTCGTTTGTTTGAAGCAAAGCACTAACCACTATGAATGAGCATCTGACACCTCCAAGCAGGTTCCTAGTACATCGACTGAATCTGCTCTGACTCCACAAATGAGGCCAACTTGAACTTGATCCAAACTTTACTTGCGGCAAACTGCTTCTCTAAGTAGTGTCTCTCACCAGGGAGGTTCACACATGGGTTATGAGAACTTATGAGGTTATGAGTCAGATCCAATGCAGAAAACCAACTGTTCCTGTATGTTTTGAAAAAAGAACAGTTTGGTTTATAATTTCAGAAGTTTTACCATTAGTAGTGCCATGCCGTTAGCTGAATAACTATGTACATTAAACGCAAATTCACTGCCACCTGTTAAATTGTTTTCAAATTAACTGGCATCCTTGGAATCCCTGAGGAGGTTCCTTTCACAGAGTTAGTTTTTAAATATCTAAAACTCATTTCTCTGAGTACAGTTGCTTTTATTAAATACCCACATAATAAAAGTGAACTTAGGAGTTTTTAGTATATATAAATATCCCGTATTTCCATGGCACCTTTTATTCACTAAGCTCTAAATTTCATGAAAAAAAGCTTTCCTGATTTCTGGATGAAAACACAGATGTAAATAATAACCAGGTATCAGTTTTGCCCCTTTTGACTCCCTCATCTGTGCATCATTTGCTGACATTTTTGAAACTCCTGTCCCCAAAATACCCTGGCACTGAAATAAGATACTAACTTAGAGCAGACCAGAATACAAGGTTTATGAATATACTGACACTACATGGCCAAGTGCTCAAGAAGAGAAATAAAGAATCTCATTGCATGTTCCCAACTACACACATTCCTGGGTAACCTACTTAAAATGCCTGTGTGTGTGCGTGTGTGTTGAGAGAGAGAGAGGGAGGGAGGTAATTAAAGCGAAATTTTATATCAGAAGTTTTGTATTTTTTGAAAAAATTTATAAATTCAAAACATGTCCTCAAATGTTTTTAATCAATGGCCTTCCGTTTCTGTTTTTATCATATAACAAAGTTGCCTTTGAAAGTTTCTGGCACTGGATGGTTCACACTTCTCGCCCATAATATAACAACACAAAAGAGTTTCTAGGGTACCTATGAACAACATGTGGTCAATTTTCCCGAGAAGAGGTTGCGTGAGAATAAGCAGAGGTAGAAAGATTTTAGGAGAGTTTTCCTGGCCTAGTAGAGAGGTTTTAAAAACTAAAATATTTCCCTGAAAAAATCTAAAACGTCATAAAGTTTCCTTTTCAGATACTTCGACTATACCTGCCTGAGACTGAGTAGCAGAGACTGAGTAAGCACGCTCAAACTCAATCTCATACTGACCACCAATCCGTAGCTACTCACTGAGTACCTAGGTACATAAAAGGAGCATGAAGTAAAGCCACAAAAAGTCATACATGAAAAGTCATTCTACTTAGGAGCACCTGGCATTGTTTTGTAGGTTGCTGAGAGCTGCTGTTGTAATGGTCCCAGGCCACAGTTTGATTGGTCAGACTTCTTTCCACCTTCAGCCCTAGAGCAGTGACTGTCAGCCAGCTTTGGTATGAACACAGGTGTGCAGCCAATGGCCCCACTCACACAGAGGCAGCGAAACAGGGGATTGGGCTGAAACACTTGGCCATTATGATAATGTACCCTGTTGAACTCACATCCCACAGCAACAAGGTCTGAAAAGAGAAAAGAGCAAAATCACCAAAGAAGCCATCACTGAGAGTCTAGACCTCCAATTATAAACCGTAGAGGAAATAGCTATCTCCTGTATAAAGTTCTCAATTCTTAGGCCCCACCTGGAACCTCCTTCACAAAACATCTGTAAAAGGTGAAAATGAGACATTTTCGTTATATTGTTGGCTCTCAGCCCCAAATGGACACTTCCAGAATTAAGACCCAAGTATAGGGCCTGTGTGGAGTAAAATTAAAAAAAAAAAAAACAACCACTATGAATACAGCATTGAGATAATGATTGTAAGTCTGAGAGATGGGTTGGTGGTTGGTGAGACTGAGGTATCCCCAGATGTCCAACAATAAGCTAGGATATATTCTTAGGAAGTTAGGATATATGAATGGCTGAAAAAGTTATAATTTTTTTAACTGCAGTACTGCATGGTAACTGATTTTTTAAAAAGAGAATTGGAGAAAACTTTCACTTTCTCTGAGGGGAATTCTTGACCTGGATTACCAGTTCTCAAAGTCTGGCCCACCAACCCCTTTGACAGTGCAGGGACCTTTCAGAGAATCTTCAAGGTCAAAACTCTTTTTCAGAGTACTAAGCTGTGACTGACTTCTTTCACTGTGTTGATATTTGTACTGATGGTACAAAAGTAATGGTGGCTAAAACTGCTGTTGTCACATTAGTATGAATCAAATTGTAACAGGTTAATCACTGTATTTTTCCTTGCCATGCGCTTGTACATAGATGTATTTTCTAAAAAAAAAAAAGAAAAAAGAAAAAAGGTGAAAGAAAACTAGTTTTACTTAAGAATGTCCTTGATGACAGAGTAAAAATTACTAATTTTATTAAATCTCAACCACCAAATACATGTCTTTTTAATACTCTTTGTGACAAAATAGGAAGCATACATAGAGCATCTCTGTAGGTGTTGTATCAAAGTACAATAGTTATCATGAGGAAAAGCACCTATGCAATTGTCTGAGCTGTGGGCCAAATTAACTAGTTTTTTAGTGGGAATTTCACCTGAAGAAATGACTGATAGATAAACCATGGTTGTTCAGACTTGGGTATTTGGCAGACAATTTATTGAAAATCAACAAAATGAGCTTGTCACTTCAAAGATAACAACTGACAGTATTTATTGCCCATGACAGAATTCAAACTTTAGAGCAAAAATTAGAATTATGAAAAACTTGTGTCCACCTCTGGGGTCTTCATAGCTACCCAATATATAGACTTTCCTGAAGAGATTGGTATTAATTAATGTGATTTTCTAAAAATTGTATAATTAAACGTATCAACATTTGGAACTACATAACCCATGTTTCCAAATCGATATTTTCCAAGTAATCAATGCATAGCACTACAAAGTTATGCATGAGTAAAAGGCCCATTCCAGTGGGTCTTGAATAGACCAATGTATTTTAATGTCACAGAATTTGACATTGATGTAGTTCATTGATATGGTTTTAGATTCCATGATGCAGCTAATTCTTAAGAAACTACCATGCCTCAAGTTTTAATATAACATCAGAAAAGAATATTCACAATTATCTGAAAAGTCTGTGAAAATATCCCTTCCTTTTCCAACAATATATCTGTGTGAGGCTGGATTCTCTTCATATATTTCAACCAAAACAACGTATAGCAACAGACCGGAAGCAGAAGCAGATGTGAGAACGTAGCTACCTCCTGTTAAGTTAGACATTAGATTTGCAAAAATGTAAAACAATCCCACGCTTCTCACTAAATTTTTCTTTGTTTTGGAAAATGATTTTTTTCATAGATAATATATTATTCCTATTAATTTGCAATGGGATTGTTATTTTTGAATGAACTAACAAATATTTTTAAATGTCTAGCCCACTAAATACCTATAGAGATAACTCACATAAAAAAAAGCACTGTGCGTCCTTTTTTCTAAAGGAAGATAAGTACTCGTTATTAGCTGGGCAGTTTAGTCTCTCTGTAGAAAAGCCCAACTGGGAAGGCCAAGTCCTCCCAGAAGTTTGGTTGTGAGCATGAAATGAGAGTACATCCTTTGGGTCCTTCTAATTTCTAAGACTTAAGTCCTCGCCCAAAATGTTGAAAAACCATTTATCTGTATCATTGATCAAATTTTTTGTAAAGGGCTAAATAGTAAATATCTTAGCCTTGACTGACCATTCAGTCTCAGTCTCCATGACTACATTCTGCAATTGCGAAGCAGACAGAAACTACACGTAACTGTATTGGAGTGGCTGCATTCCAATAAAACATTATTTATAAAATCAGGCTGCAGGCCATGATTTGACCTGAGTCATACCTTGTTTCCCCGAAAATAAGATCGGGTCTTATATTAATTTTTGCTCCAACAATCTACATTTATTCATTTATTCATGTACAAAAATTTACATGTATTCAAACAGTCATGTCTGGCTGGCGATCTTAACTGGGGCTTATATTTGGGGTAGGGCTGATATTACGAGCACACTAGGGCTTATTTTCGGGGAAACACAGTAGTTTGTGACCCCAGTTACAGATCATCCCCAGCCCCACCCTCCTGGCTACGTTCTGTTAAAATACTCATCACAGTATGTGAAATTACTTGTGGAAAAGTCTGTCTGACACAATAAACTTTGGCTCTGAAGGCAGGGCCTGTATCTTTTCGTCCCCCTGTTGTGTCCCCAGCTGCTGGTCACTAAATGTTTGTTAGGTTAATGAGATAACTTGCCCAGCACTGTTTGGGAGAGACGGGTCTCCTGAAAGCCAGAATCTGAGAGGTCATGTGTTTTCCCTGTTGAGTTTCCATGAAAGATAACGTTTTTGAGAGTCTACTGTGTGCCACATACTGTGCTGGGTATTTTGGGTTTTGTGTCATTTTCATTTGATCCTACTAGCAACTCTATAATATAGGAAGTATATATGCTGTAACTGAGGCACAGAGAGGTTAAACACCATGATCAAGGTCACTCAGCTATAGAGCCCAGCATTGGAACCCAGAGCCTACATTCTTAACCAGTATAATATAGTGCTGACAGGGACATCAGGCTATCAAACTTGAATGGCTCTACCCACACAGCCTGACTCCAAGGATGTGCTCTCATTCCATGCTCACAACCAAACTTCTGGGAGGACTTGGCCTTCCCACTTGGGCTTTTCTACAGAGGGGCTCAACTACCCAGCTAATAAAGAGTATTGCTCTTCCCTTAGAAATTTAATTTTTTAATCTTAAGTAGGTTGGCATTCTGAATTATTGTCAAGGTTTTATAGGCTTAGATGGTTTCAATCAGACTCCAGAGCTAAGACCCACAAAGCTAAGGGTCAGGTTGTGATTTGGGGTTCCCCTACCTTCTTTTTCACAAAGCTGCCTTAGTAAAAAGTACAGTTACTTGATGGTTAGTTGGGAAAGCTGAGATTAAAGCAGCATGTCTGATTACTAGATACACATCTTTACATTTTAAGCAAGATTATTTTTTAGCTATAAAAAGGCTGAATTCAAATTGATTTTGATAGCACTAACAACAGCTGTCACTTTGTGGCTAAAACTTTGAGAAGTCAGACTGTTTACATATTTTTTTCCTATTTTTAATTACCTGAGAAGAACTGCAAGATCACTTCAAAGAAACAAAAATAACATGTTTGCAAACGTGTAGACATCTGCTAATTTCACATGGTCTGAAATGACAAAGCCAGTCCTATTGGTGCATGAAAACTAAACTCACCTCGTATTTAGCCAAACTAAACTGGTTATTCCAAATTAACAGTTGCAGAAAATAATCCTGTCTAGACTCAGCCTTTTCCAGCAGGTCCAGAAGAAGACACTTACATGCACACACTCCGGTCTCGTACCTCGGCCTGTCTGCTGAGTAGTCACAATACAGCCCTTTGTGTGGGTCGCAGAGATCAGCTTCATTGCAGATGTCCCCTGGTTGCTTGGCACAGATTTTGCAGCATCCACATCCATCCCTCACCAGGCTCACTCCAGGAGGGCACCTGGGTTTCTGAGAGCATTTACAGGGCCAGTGGCAAAACTGCTTCCGATGATGCGCTTCTGATACTTCTCCAGGCCTTCCTTCAGGTGTTGTGTGTAACGGCCCAGTGCCCTGAGCCCCGCAGCAGAACTTCATTTGATAATAAAGGTGATGTTAGAAAGGATTCCTCAAACTAATTTCAGAGGTTTTATAGAAATAAATGATTTCCCCCAAATTTGGTAGAATACAGTATAGTGAGTTATAATAATAATATGTATCAGTATTTGACACTTAAACTTTTCTTCACTCAGTTCCCAACACAGCACTCTTTCTCACTCCTCCTTTCTCACTGATTGCTCCTTCTTGGTCTCCTTTGCTGATTTCTTCTCATCTTCTTCATTTCTAAACATTGGAGAGACCCTGTGGTTAAGACCTCTAAAATAGCTTCCCTGACTATATCTCACATCCCCCACCCAGGTCTCTCTTCTGAACTGAAACTCAAACTGCCTACTTTAACAGATCTCCACTTAGATATTTAATAGGCATAGCAAACTTAACATGACCAAAAACAAACTCCCAATTTCTCACTCCAATCTACTTTTCCATAATCATCCCTATTTGAGCAAATGCCAATTTCGTTTTTCCAAAATACTCTGGAGTCAGGTCATTCTTGACTCTTCTCTCTCATTTTACATCCAATCCCATCAGTAAATCCTGTTGGTTGAACCTTCAAAATGGGTACTCTGATTGTGTTTTAATAACTCCACTACTACCATAGTGATCCACCCACCATTATTTTTCATTTAGATGATTACAATAGTCTCCTAAAGGTTTTCATTGCTTCCCCCCTTGTCCTCTATATTCTCCATCCAGCAGAATGGTTCTTTAAAAAATAAATAAATAAGTGGGGTTACATTAAACTAAAAAGTGCCTACACAGCAAAGAAAATAATCAACAAAATGAAAGGGCAACCTACACAATGGGAGAAAATATTTGCAAACTATATATCTAATAAGGGGTTAATACTAAAAATATATCAGGAACTCATACAACTCAATGGCAAAAATAATAATAATAAAGTTATTTTTTATTTATTATTCAGGCAAAGGACCTGAATAGACATTTCTACAAAGAAGACATACAAATGACCAACAGGTATATGAAATGGTGCTCAACATCACTAATCATCAGGGAAATGCAAATCAAAACCACAATGTACCTTTTAGGATGAGTATTACTAAAAAACAAAAGCTGTGTTGGTAAGGATTTAGAGCAAAGAGAACCCTGGTACACTGCTGGTAGGGATGTAAATTGGTACAGCCATTATGGAAAACAATATGGAGGTTCCTCCAAAAAAACCCAAACAAGAACTACCATATGATCCAGCAATTCCACTTTAGGTATTTATCCAAAGGAAAAGAAATCAGGATCTCAAAGAGATACCTGTGCTCTCATGTTTATTGCAGCATTATTCACAGTAGCCAAAATATGTAAACAACCTAAATATCCATCCATGGGTGAACAGATAAAGAAAATGTGGCATACACATACGATGCAATATTATTCAGCCTTTAAAAAAAAGGAAATCCTGCCATTTGCAACATCATGGATTGACCTGGAGGACATTATCTAAGTGAAATAAACCACGCACTGAAAGACAAACACTGTATAATCTCACTTATATGTGGAATCTTAAATAGACTCAAGCAAAGAGTAGAATGGTGGTTGCCAGCACCTGGGTGTGGGGGGCGAAATGGGGAGGTGATGGTCAAAGGCTACAATTTTCAGTTATGCAAGATAAATAAGCTCTGGAGACTTACTAAACAGCGTAGTGGCTATAGCTAACAATACTGTATTGTGTGCTTGAAGTTTCTAAGAGAGTAGATCTTGTCTTAAATGTTCTCATCACACACACACAAAAAAAATAATAATAAAAGGGGCAGGAGGAGACTTTGAGAGGTATGTGTATGGCCTTGATGGTGGTGATGGTTTACGGGTATATATTTACCCCCCGAAATCATCAAATTGTATACATTCAATATGTACATCTTTTTACATATCAATCATACCTCAATTCATGTCACTCCTTGCTCATAAGGGGTGGTTCCCCATTTCAATGTAAAATCCAAACTTCCCCTGAAGGTCTTGCGGCATCTGGCCCCTACCCTATCTTGTTTTGCCCACTGCCACTCACCCCCTTGCTTGCTTACTCCACCCACAGTGGCCTCCTTGGTCTTTAAATATTCCAAGTATGCCCTTTCCCCAGGTATCTTCATGGCTCACTTTTTCCCTTTCTTTAAGTCTGTGTTCAAATTTATCAGTGAGGCCCTTCTTGATCATCTTTTATAAAACAGTACCCTACCCCAGCCCTTTCCCCATAGACCATCTTACCACCTACTTTATTACCTATACATTTTACTTGTTTATTTTCTGAGTCACACACCAGGAATACGAGTTTCTTGAGGCGAGCTCTTTACCTAATGTCTGTCTTGTCTTCTGGAAAACCTGTTTATTGAATGAAAGAACATGGCACTGCCTATGTGGAAGTACTTCATATGTTCATACGATTTAACCTTCACAACAACCGTGCGGAGTAGTTATTATCTGCATGGGATAAGCACAATAATGGTCCCCTCCAAGATGGTTATGTCCTCATCCAAGAGAAGAGGATTGGGGAAGAGTCAAATGCCTTAGAGAGATGGAGTAACAGGAAAACATAGAGACTTCATGAACAGGAGCCTAGCTGAGAGGCCACTGAACCTGGCAAGGAGTCCCTGGGAACCACTGCTGAAACTGTGCAAAGCTGAGAACTAGGCACTCATTATTTCTACTCTCTTCTCCACTTTTGTTATTTCCTTTTCCCCTGCTCTTTGCTTTTATGACACCAGGCCCTCCCAGTTCTACCTTTGCCTCTTGATATATGTCCTCAATCTCCTTTGCAGGCTCCTGTTACCCTAAATTTGACTTTGATTTACGCTTATTGGAATTTCATGACTTTAATGTATTGCTTTTCTCACTCTGCACATTGTCTCTTAGCAATCTTATTCAGCCCCTTGCCTTCAATTTCCACCCTATACAAGATTCAAATCTAAATTTCCATCCATGACTTCTCCACTGAGCTCTAGACCCATACAGCTGGCTGTCTACTGGACATCTATCCACGAGCATGTCCTGCAGAAAAAAACTCATGTCCAAACCTCACTGTCCCCTCCGTCACCCCAGACAGCGTCTCCCAAGTTTGAAGTCAGGAATCTAGAAGTCATCCAGGTCACTTTCCTCCTGCTCCCCTCCCATTGTCATTTAATGACTAGTCCTGCTTATTGTGCTCACCTCCCCCTAACCAGTCACGCTTGCCCCGTTTCCACTGCCGATAAGCACCATTGCAGTCAGTTCCTAACTGGTCTTCCTCTCTCAAGAATGACTTCTCAAACACATCTATCACGCTGCTGCTGGAGAGAGCTCTTTAAAACACATAATCTGATTTTACTACTCCTCCCCATACAGCCCATCAGTGGTTACCTACTGTCTACAGTATCCAGTTCAAACTTCTGAGCACGATGCCTAAAGTCCCACCTGTGCTGGCTCCTGCCTTCCTCTCTCGCCTTAGCCTCAACGCACTCTCCTCCTATGCCTTGAAGTTTACTAAGAGCAGGTCGATTTGCTACTCCATGTGTCCTACTGCTTCCACTAACGAAATGCCCACTTCCAAAACAGTCCACCTGGGACCCCTGTTCATCTTTCCAGTCTTGAAACATTTCTAAATAATCTTTGAGATCACATGGTAACACCGTTGAAAACCAAGGAAAAAGAGAAAATCTTGAAGGTAGCCTGAGGAAAGGAAAGTGTTATATACAGAGAATAACAATAAGAACGAGATCTGACTTCTCATTAAAAGAAGGAAACCAAGATGTTCTTCAGTGGGATAAATAAACTGCAGTACATCCAGACAATGGACTATTATTCAGTGCTAAAAAAAATTAAAAAAATAAAATAATTGAGGGCTGGCAGAGTGGTGCGTTGGTTAAGAACTGGTTTGGGATGCCAGAGGGCCCCGGTTCGGATCCCACCTATGAGGGCCAGTGACACTGCCCTCTACAGCTAAGATGCTGAACAACAGCTCGACCTGAAGCTGGACTGCCATGGGTTGCCGGCAACGGCGTAGGCTGCAGTCCCCTGCTGCAGTGGGTTGCCA